ACTACTACTACTACTACTACTACTACTACTACTACTACTACTACTACTACTACTACTACTACTACTAACTACTACTAACTACTAACTACTAACTACTAACTACTAACTACTACTACTACTACTACTACTTCTACTACTACTACTACTACTACTACTACTACTACTACTACTACTATTCTCCTACTGCTACCACTACTACTACTATCGCTACCGATAACACTACCACTACCACTACTCCTACTACTGCTGCTACTACTACTACTGCTGCTGCTGCTGCTACTACACCTACTCCTACTCCTACTCCTACTACTACTACTACTACTACTACTACGACTACGACTACAACTACCACTACTACTACTAACTACTACTACTACCACTACCACTACCACTACCACTACCACTACTACTACTACTATTACTACTACTGCTTGGGCCACGGAAGTTTCCCAGTTTTGGGCCGCCCAGTACGACTACTACTGAAATTATCTGAGTTGTATTATTGGTTGGGCACAGGTCTCCTGATGAAAGCATTCGCTTCAGACAAAACAGTAAGACTGTGCTATGGGCTGAAATACACAACGAGGGTGATGTCAACGTGGCTGTTTTGCAATGTCATGGTGGGGTTCACTCGAAATAAAGTATTTTTCTCGAGAGGTTCTTTAAGCCACACATGACTTACACTCCCTTGAAATATCTGAATATAGTCATGGTTATGTGGATGGCATGGCCTCTTGGATGACCATGGTATCCGAAGACCGAACGGGTGGTGCCATGCACTTCCAAGAGCTTAGGCCAAGTAACTATCGTTTACTTGGCCTCTTGGGTGGATTCTCGTCCAGAAGTAGAGTCCTTGAGTCGACCCAAGCCATGATTGATCCTCTATGAAATGAGTATATGTTTCCGCTATGAAATGGTCTTACCACCAGACAAGGGGGATAGAAAGTAAAGATGCATGCGGGTCAATTGTGCATTCTGGTTGCTGGTCAATCTTGATCTCCAGATGGGTGCAGCATAGCAGTTACTTGCGATGAGTGGGACCACCTGAGATTCTGCACAGACGATTCACCGCTGCACCACTCACCCAGCAACCCACAGGTTTTGAAAGGTTTGTCGCCATTCACCCACTACAAGTCAAGGACCTTTTGTCACTGGCGTTGGTCATACCAGACAGGTATAATGAGATCAAGGACCATGTCATGTGAATTCTTTAGGACCTCTTCTTCATCTCTGACCGAGATCGAACTCGCTACTTGTAACGAGCGTACGAGGAGATCACTTTATGGAAGAATGCCGATGTGGACTATGCCACTTGGAGCATCGAACCGACTCGCGAAACGGACACGCGACCGACGACCTGGCCGGGTCGCACTGGGAGGACGGAGAGAAGGGCGTCTCTCTTCGAAGGAACGAAGTCCTGGGAGGACTCTGGACCCAAATTGGACACTTTGAGGGTCCATGTATGCCATGTATGTCTATCCTATGAGTTGCAGCCAGGGCAGGCACGCTAGGTGTCCATCGTTCGACGACCAATTTGCACTTGTCTTGCGGAAACGCCGTTGTCCAAGTGTGAAAACAACTCAGGATCCACATCCCATGTAGCCCCTGTGGTGCTATTAGGTGATAGATGGTGATAGGATGTGATAGGTACTATAAGTACTACTATGATACAGTGTTAAATATAATTGTTAGTGTGATGTTGATGTTCTGTATGTTCTAGCATGGGTGATACGTACCGATTGATGCACTATAGCATTGGTGTTAGATCTAACGACGACATCGACTAAAGGCTACAGCTGGTGTTTTTTTCCAGGACCTCCCAGGTTGGGACCGTCCAAACCAAACGCGAACCAGAATGGGAGGCGGACTCGTTCGGGAGACGGGTGGATGGATTGACCGGGCGGACGCGGGCTGTGTGCGCTTCTTCGACCGGTGGCCGGGTTTAGGAGCCGACGCAGACCTGGGAGCTGCCACTGCCAGAGAGTGCTGCTGGGGTGAATATGTCATAGATTCCATACATGGGGTGTTTGGAGGGGAGGGAGAGAGAGAGACAGAGAGAGAGAGAGAGAGACCTGAAAAAAAGGTCCAGTTGCACCTGAGGCGCAGCCTACTCCTGCAATCCGGCCTGCGATCCGAGGTTGCACTGGGTCATATGAACCTGAACATTGACAACGCCTTCTTCTGGCGTACCTTGGTTTTTGTTTGACGTCACCCCAAGGTCTTTTGAACCTTTGATGCTGGAGCTTTGAGAATCGTTGTTGGATGCTGGTTGCTGAACATCGTGCCATAATACACTCCCGAAGTATCACGGAAAGTGATAGCACTTCCTGTTTGGTATTTGGATTGAACATGGCCGAACTCGGGGCGATGCCACATGATCTCATTGCACTTCCCTGCACTTCATAGGATGAGAACTTTCAAATACACTTCATAGGGATCCCACTAACAATCCCTACACTTCAAAAACTAGACTTCCATTGGACCCCTTGCATGTGTTCCAAACCTCCTTGCTATGACCTGACCCCCTCAGCCAGCCGTCCACGCCGCGCGGTCCTTCCTCGGTGCGAAAGAAGGTACTGGCAATCAGCAACTGGACTGTGGCCCCTTGGCATGGGTTGAAACGTGTAGGCATAGGGTAGAGAGACATGGTAAAGACATTTGCAGCCTCAGACCAGTGATAGACTGGGGGCAGATGAACAGATCTTGGACTGGACACATTGAACACATGCTGATGGGATGCGGTTCAGAGTTCCTGCCGGGCCCTCAGCACCGGTGGGACGATGAGTTCCTTGGGCGTCTTCCGGTTCGAAAAGTTGTTTGAAGCAGCGACAAATAAGCAGAGGATGGCTATAGATGTTCTATAAGTTATACCTCCCTATATGGAAGGGTTGTACTTCAGACCAGGTCCTATTGAGCACATATGGTCAGACATGATTAAGGTCACGGTTTCCTGCCCCCCCCAAAAAGATGGTAATGAAAAAGACCTTGTCTGAGACACCCTCTCCATTTAGCAGACCTTATAGGGGTGGCCGGAGTTTATTGATCTGATTGCTATTTGGACCTGGAAATCACAATCTCTCCGTCTCCCCTCAAACTGATTGGTCATCATCAGCAGCTAATGAGGAGCTCAAGCTGGTTCTGGAGACTTTTGGAAAGCCTATGTAGGACCCCCTGTAGGGGCTTTCTGGCCCACAGATCCTATCCTGGTTCTTCAGTTCGTGACGGAAGCTTCCCAGTTTGAGGGCACAACTTCCCAGTTTGAGGTCACTTCCTTCGGGACGCCCCCCAGCTTAGATCACGTACGCTTCAGCTTCAGCCGCCCCGAAACCATCCCGAAACCATGTTCGCCTAAAAAAGGACGCCGGAAACGAGTAGTGAATTTGTCTCATGTGGAGAAAAAATCATTATCCCTAAGCATCCAGGCCCTCAAACAGATATGATTTTGAGGCCCCAGACCCCTGCGAAGGTGTCGAGTCCGACCCCTGCCATGGACAGCCCGTACGGATTCTTCAGGAAAACGTGCCGACCCGCCACCCCCCGGAGGCATGTTCGACCTCGGTGGCTTTGGCGCCTTCTCCTTACATCATCGGCTGCTTGCATCGACGTCGTTCGGCGCGGGCTGAAGGTGGCCGTCGGAAGAATGCCTGTTCACACAACGAGCTGCAAAAGGCTGCAAAAGGAGGTGAAATGGTCAGCACAACACAGGGGAGTGGCTCTGAGGGGCTATGACATTCAGTGCTGCATAGAGCAGCAGACGAAGAAGCACCAGGACTTCTTAGACATAGCGGAAGGAGCCAAATCCAGGTTGATGGCCTGGTCAAGGCGCTAGATTGCAAGGGGACAACGGTTTCGGGGGTGCGCGCAGAGGCATCCTGCGTGAGTGCAGTCTTGCGGTTCTCCATGAGTTTGCAGCAGAGCTGAGCGAAACTAGACAATCGCAGGGTCAACAATCTGTCTCTGGGACCACCCCTGGGACAGAGTCGAAGAAATGGGCATAGTTGCACGGGAGATGGAGTTGGGTGGGTGAAGGGACACCCCGAAAAAAGGTGTGTGTGTGTGTGTGTTTGTGTGTTTGCCAAACATTCAGACCCCTAAACCGGGGGCGAGGTTGAGTTCTCAAATTCTGAGTCACCCAAGTCGGAGGTAGGCTTAGGGGGGCCGTCCACAGAGCCTTTTCATCCTTTCTCATCCTCCGAGCTAGCACCGATCCTGAAAGGACCTAGCATTCTAGTATGTTCCACAGGGTTTTGCTCCACATGCCATAAATCCGGGAATCAACCACTGCAACATGAATTCTTTCTGGTTGCTGGACATTAACACTTCAACATAAGGGATGTCTACCAGCATTTGTCTACCAGCAGTCACAAAGGGATGCTTAATGGAGATTAGGGGTGCCCTTTTTCCACTCACTTAGGGACTCAAAAGCACCCCTTTGTGACCCCTGGTAAAATGACTTGAACGTTATTCCCGAGGTTCTTGGCAATCCCAACTACACACTCCATGGCATGGTCAATCTCTCGCTCTCACTGCGCTGAGGCTCTGGTGGGGCATCAACTGTGCAGAGTACGCGTTGATCTCGGAGCATCTTGAGGCGTCGCAGAGTCGATCCAGATTGGGGCGCTGAAGCGTCCATGGAACATTTAGTTGCGCCATGTTGCGCATATATATTGGTTATTGGATGTTATTGGTGTGATTTTGGTGATCAGTATTGTTTGAACCTGAACGACAGACTCCCACTGGAGAAAATACAACAGACAATCAAATTGGATGAACGGTCGCTACAGATGATGGCGGTGAATCAACATGGAGTAATGTCATAATTAAATGTGAACAAATACGAGATACTTTAACAGTCTGTCTTTGGTCCAGTTTTTTGCAGAGCCTCCCACCATGATACTCAACGTGTTGTTATCTCCAAGAATGTTTTTCCAGTGGAGGCAGCAATCGAAGCTCCAAGTTTGGTCTATGGGTGGTTTCCATCACTGTATAAACCATGTTGAGAAGAATGTTCACATGTTCATAAACCGTTAAGACACTGGGCTATGAGTTGGAGGGTATACATTTAACCTCAACATACCTCAACCATGCGGGTTAGAGTTCGGGCACTACGGGTGTCAGTTAGGTCTGGAAGTCAAGTGTGTCTTCTTTTTTCCAGACGAATGACGAAATCCGAGGTGACCATGGGTTGGGTATATCATGGTATATCCCATTACCAGGGCCCAGTGGATATGTTTTCCACTTTGCATCTTGGTGAAGTGACGTGGTTGTCTTCTACTGTAGACGGTTGGTCAGTGTTCACATACCAGCTGCCTACTGTAATGGGATCTAGTTGCAGGTGATTGGAACAAGAAGGTAACTGTGGATGACGATGATGATGATGATGATGATAATGATGATGTTGATGATGTTGAGAGAGGCCTTTCTCAAACATTAGTTAACCATACTATTTCATACTTTACCAACTCGTGCTGACAATGGGACACACATTAGCCATGGGGCCATGGGGACATAGGATTTCCGCTGGCTCGTGGCAGGAACAGGTCCTTCGACGACTAAATCCGTGTTTGTTGGCATCCCACATTGATGATGTGATGATGAAGTGTGTTTCCCAATGAGGCCTTGTCAAAGAATAGATCCTCGCACTCGGAAAAGAAAGCACTCACACACTGACACACATGCACAGACATTTCATGGGACGGAACGATGTGCCCACATTGACCAATCAAAACCACCCATGGCCATTTCTGGGGAGTCATATGCCAGTCCCAGACAGGTCGTGTTTGGGTTGTGGGTCCCACGCCATAGCAATCGGCCAAGTTCTGTTGACATGTTCTTCAATCGTTTGTCGGGTCAAACAGCCTTCGGACGCTTAGAAAGACGCAGAAACAACACGTGTCTCAACAAGCATCAAAGATCTCCACCAGCACCGTGCTAGCACCCTCCAACATGTTCATGCTATTCTTCGTGGCTTGTTGGACTCGATCGGAAGTCTCACCCGGCTTCAGAGCTCGAAGTCGCCAAGCCCCACGCCTCCCCGGAGCATCCCGGAGCCACCTGGTGCTCCACGCAGTTGCGCGCCACTCGCGGCCGGCCACCGCTCGGCGGCCTCCGCACACAGCCGCCGCAGGAGTTCCTGTCCATCTTCCTGGAGACCTACCGTTCACTCGGCGGGCCCTCACTGGACCGGACGCTGAGACGAAGAGAAAGCGGGCGACCGGGCGACCGGGTCCGGGGACACGGAGCGTCAAGGACCAGGAAAGACCACAGTGACCGTGGTGTGACCCGTTTGGGATACGGACCACCGCGAGGTGAGAGGGGTGTGTTTTGGGGGGGTTTGGATGGATGAAAACTCTTGAGATAGCTTCAAGTTTCATCAAGTTGCATCATTTCCCCCAAGCTGATGGCTCAGCGGCTCACCCCAGAGGAATCTTGTGGGTGAACTGCTGTTTTGTCTTTTTTGTGAAGAAAGAGCCTTCACAGAGTGAGAAGGTGAGCAACCCTGACATTGAGCCGTCATGTGCTTTCGGTGTTTTTCCTACCTGGGAAGTGTGGGAAGGACCACCTGTAGAAGTTTTGGGCGGAACACTGCCCTTGGAAAGGTTGGCAGAAGGTCCATGGATGTCCATGGGTCATGTTTGATGTTGGAAGGTGACGGTGACTTTGATGTTTGGATGCTTGGCAGGCGATCATGGAGGTGTCCTCCGAGGAAGCTGAGCAGTGTGAAATGGCCACTGATCTTCCCTCGAATGTGCCAAGCTTTACCACCAAGCATAGCCAGTTGCTCGCTTCTGCCACCAAGTGGAAGGTGTTTGTTTGGAGCCACCGACATGGGAGAGGTGGAAGTGGGCGCTCCTCGAAGGGGCGACGTCAGCCTGGATGAGTCGGTTAGCAGGTGGCTCAGCATCGATCCCGCACAAGATGAGATTCGAGAGGATGAACTGATGAAGGGCGGTCGTCCAGGCCTGATCCGGATGAACTTGTGGTCTCCAACGAGCCGATGAAACGATGAGGAGTCGGAGTACTTCAACAGCATCTGAAAGGTTCAGGTCTTCACGGGTCTTCACGAATGAGATTCTCTTCAAGAAGCCGATCCTCACAGCCATCCCTTTGGAGATGTGAGAGGAGTCCTGCAAGGTCGCAGGTGTCACCTACCTCCGGAAGAACGCCGACGAGAGTGATGTCATCTGCATGTTCATGGACGCGGATGATATCCCGCCGTTGACCGGCGGCCGGGCCTCAACAGCAAGCGCCCAGCCACACAACCACAACGCAACCACAACACACGACCACAACACACACTCACAAACAAGCACACACCCACAAACACACAGCCACAACACACAATCATAACACACAACCACAAGCACAACCAAAAAAAAAGCAACCTCAAGCACACAACCGCAAACACACAACTACAACACACACACACACACAACACACACCCCAAACATCGAGAACCACAAAAGCCCCGACCATGACAACGTGCTCCTCACCATGGCATGGCATGGAACCATTGTGGGGATCCTTCGAGGTGATCGTTGTGTGCTTTCAGGGCAAAAACCATCGAACACACATACGATTTGGCATGAGTCATCAAACGGATGTGACACAAGATGGAAGCCAAAACCATCTTGGTATGTGTGTTTTTTTAATCTTTTGTGGTTTCTCAGAAGTTGCAAACATCATGTTAGCCAAAACCATCTTGGACCATGTGGCACAATGTTGCATCGTGTTGGCGCATTGAATAGTTGGTGCTACTGCCTTCCAATGGAGAAAAAGGACATGACACATGATTTCACATGATTTCACTTGATGCCATGTTAGTTCCAAAAAGGGTTTTCAACCAAGAAAATCAACAGCCAAACCATAGCATGCGAGTGATGGTTCAGAACAACCAGGTCAAAGCAAACGGCCAAAACCACGCACACCATCATGTGTCATGTGTGTGACATGTTTGCACGTTACCACGTTTTGTCCCTTTTGGCGCCCAAGGAAGGTTCTCAGGAGTGGACTCATCATCACGGCTTTGGAGAACATGCGCCTCGTCGAGAACATGCGTCGCCCGTGCGGCTGCGGTCGCTGCGCGGTGCGAAACGCTCGGAACAGGCGACTCGTCCGAGCTCCGCGGTCGAAGCTTCGGCGTTTTTCCCATGTCGAGCTTGGTTGAGACGAATCAGGGCCTCTTATAGGTGGGTCACGGAGGGTTGGTCACGGAGGTTCAAAGAATTGGAGGTTAGGTGGATGTCATGTGGTTTGGAGAGAGTTATGGATTTATATGGATTTCATTATGATTTCATGTGAGTGGCGGGCACCAGGAGCCAGACGTGGGTTTAATTCGATTGACCCCAAGGCCAGAACTATACGGAGAAATGGGCATACAAGTTTCATACACGTGGCCCATAGGCCCAAAGGCAACGAGAGTGGTGAGGATTCCCCTGAACATGGAAGTTCCACGAGGTCCAGGATGGTCCAGGAAACAGTCAGAACTGAGTCAGAACCACTCCATATCTCGGAGTTTGTTAAACACCAGATCCATCCTTTGGCGTCAGCTTAGATGCTCAAGAGTTCGCTCGAATTGAAGTTGTGTTCACTGGTGTTTATCCTTTGAGCAGGGTACAAATGTTGGTGCAAAATGCAGGGAAATGTAAAAAAACACATCAAACCATTATGGAACATCCATGCGTTATGTCTTGTTGTATGGTTTTTTCAACATGCTGGGTGGACAATCCCTATGGATCCGCATCACCTTGGAATCTCCCCTTGGATCCACGGGTACGCTTTGGGTGATCGACACGTTCTTGGTGGAGCATGGAGGACCGACCTTTCGAACCCGGGTCCATCCCGAACAGGTACCAAGAGAGGTTAAGTGACCTTATAGGACCCTACTGGGTACCTATGGGATGGTCTATAGGGTCCTTCAACCTCTGTTGGTAGACTCATTCCCAGACCACGACCTGTCTGGAACTGGCCTAGTGACCGATCAGTTGGGGTGGTGGTTTGGGGGGTCTGTCTGGGGCGGCAGTCCGGACTGGCAGTCCCATGGAACGTTTGGGGATTAATCCATGTTGGAGGTAGACTCATTGAGTAATCATATGTTGGAGGTGGAAAATGACATATTCATCCCAGGAGTCACAGAGCTCGGGGTAGTGTTTAGTCCCATCCAGTGAGTGGATGTTCTGGGCACCCCGACTTCCGCCATGGATAGCACCCCGTCTTATAACTTCTGGTCTAAGACTCTATACGTTTAGTATCCCGGATAGGACCAGTGACCCGTTCCTTTCGCATGTTCCACCCAAAAAGGAAACAGCTGCCTCCGCGCCACCGCGTGTGCCGGTGTCAGATGGTGTCCGGTCCTGTAGGTCGCAGCAGAAGGGTCAGGTCACCCAACCCAACAAGCACGGGACACGACCTGAGTCTAGTGAACGGGTTAAGGACACAGATCCAGTTTCCGAGTTATGAACTGAGTCTGGTGTGTACAGCTGAAATCAGGAGACGGGTAAACTAGACCAGTCTACCCAGCCGGGGCCAGGGTGTCTCCCTTTCTATTTTTCCCACCCAGAGTAGGTACCAGCTCCGTTTTTGCTGCCGAAAGTTCTGCGAACTTTGGGCCTTTTGGGGTGTCAAGTGAGGATCTTTATGATTGCCTCCATCCCGAATTGCCTGACCATGCAACTTGGCTCAGAAGACTGAGAGATGTGGCTGCGATGTCTTCGGCGCAAAAATGAGCCGTGGGTGTATCCAGTGATCCAAAGTAATATTGTCACACATTGGTTTGTCCCCCCAAACTGGACAGGACCTCTAGGGCCAGTAAGGCTTACTTATTGGTCCCAGGCGTCAGAATTCAAAGGACCAGCAGCTGGACCTTTCGCATCATTAAAACCTCGTCCACCTCGTAGGCTTAGGGGGGTCGGGCTAGAACGCCACGAGAGGTTGACAGCAGGACAGGCAAGAAGGTGTGAGCAAAACAAACAAGTTCCAAGCAATCAATGGGACTTCCGTATCCCTATAAATCCACATAACTTCTCAGAAAGCCCTTGGACCCTGCCATGGCTGCCATGTGTGTATTTTGGACCTCCATGCCGTCCATTCCCATTATACAAGTGTCTCCAATCATCTTCTCAGAGGGTCGGCTGTGGGTCAAAACCAGGGACCCTGGCCCGACCTCCAAACATGAACAGAATCCACTAGCAGGGAGGTCAATCCACCCGTTTCCACGGGCTCCAGGTTTGGACTCACAGCCTATCCCTAGGGCTCCAGTCGTACCTTCGTATCGAAGGTGTTTGAGGTCAGTTTAGAGGATCCAGTCATACCTTCTGAGGAGGTACGACTGGAGCCCATCCGGGTATATAATCCAAAGGGTCTGATTCCTTCCTTCGATCTCTTCCACACTCGGCTCTACCACACTCCATCACTGTCCGAAAACGCACATCGGTCCGCACCTCGGTCCTGAAGCCCGGGTCACACTCTGACGAGTCAAAGTGGAAAAGGATGGACAAATCCGGATGAAACCTACCACCATCCTGTCGGGGTGTCCTGGCTGGGCTACCCCACACACTACCTATAGGCCTATAGGCTTCCAGACAGGGCACCCCGACTGGATGGTCCAGGTATACTTCCCCAAAGAATCCGGGAACCAACAGCAGGTTTGCGAACCGGGTCCATTTTCCCCCTGCGTGGCGTTTCGGGTAAACTAGCTCGACCCCTGCGTGCTGTTTCGGGGTCGGGCCCGAGCTCAGATTCGGGTTGACGGATTCCTGGCGGCTCTGACGGATTCCTGACGGCTCTGACGGATTCCTGGCGGCTCCCGGACGGACGTCCGATCTTCCAAGAACGAAGTGACCCTACAAGTCAAAGACCTCATTTGACTGGAGATGGTCATACAAAACCAATACTTACTGAGGTCAAAGACCAGGTTTTACTGGGTCTTTGGACTTGTAGGGTGAAGACATGCGCGCTGCTCTCGTCTTCGCCGAACGGCGTTTCCCCACCGAACCGCGCGGGCGGTGAGCTGCTTCAGGTGCAAATCCTCGGAGTGGCCCACGATCCAAGATCGCCATGATCCACGCCGCCCGGACTGACTGATCTCCATTGGGACACCTAGAGATGCTTGCTCTTATAGGTATAGGTGGTGTGGAATATCTCCAGGTGGTTGGCCGTATACATCCGGCTACGGCTGCGATGAACAGGTTGGTGTCGATTTGATTGGTTGGAATATCTGATAGGAGGAGGCTGACCCTGTGGATTTGGAGGCATCCAGGCTCGGAAATGCTGCCTGAATGTCCTAGGGCTCCAAGTAATGTAGACTCTTGATTCATGTCTGTCCCCTCCTTGGGATTGTAAAACTCATATGGGGGGCTTTATTGATCGAGAGTCTACATTACTCAGATGGTATTTAAGGACCCCCTGAATGGGTGCTTGGGATTATCGTTGCAGCCAGCAAGCTTGGCTTCCCCATCAAAACGCCTGGGTTTTTGGGATGAATACACACCAGCATGGATCTGTATTTTGCTGATGCTCCTGGAACAGATATCCCCAATCCAAGTCAGCACGCGTCGAACACAAGGGCAGCTTAACGTCAAAGTCTCTGTTCAAACACGGCCCGCCGCAGCAGGAAACTCGGAGCTTCGTGCGTGGGTCTTCGGAACGGAAATGTTTGAATCGATCAACATGAACATGCCCGTTTGGGCTCCAACGTGGCTCCAACTACCTCCTGAGAAGGTGGTTAGGGTGGGTGCCTAGGGTGTCGAACCATTGTGCCCAGCATCCAACAGCCATCACATGCCTTCAATAGGTGGATGGTGCCGTCGGCGCTGCTTCTACTCGCAAAAGGGTGGACTGTATTGCATTCCGCATGGGCCTAGCCGTAGATGACATGGGACCACTCGGAGGACCCTCCGAATACCAAACAGGTGGTGGTGCCATCCACGATTATGTCCTAGGCTCTTCGAAGTGACCTTTTGATATTATCAGTTTGAGGTCACTTGACTTGGGCCTGTACATGGCCACTTGGGGACGAACGCATGAGATCACTTTGAAGAAGCCGGTTCATGAGTGTAAATTGTAATGTGTTATGTTGGAAACCTTCCCATTGTCTCCTTGCATGCACTCCATGGTCGCCAGGGCAAACACTAAATGGTACGAGCTTTGCTGGCTGCACTCCTTGAGGTTTTCCAAGAAATGATCCTAGAACTGTTCCATGCTTTGGAATCACTCATCCCTATAATTCGGGCTCCAACCAGGGCTCGCAGGGGTCAGCCCTGCCTTTGAGGATGTGCTTGGATGACTTCGCCACCATGACCACTTTCCCTCCCCACCCTAAAACCCCACAAACATGGCGGCCCTTTGCATCCAAACGCGCCACGCCGGCACGTACGTAGCCAGCGTTCCGATGGCACAGCCCGACCGAGGCATTTCGGCTGACGTGGACGGGAAGAGCACCCTGCGGACCACGTTGCAGGCATGGCCCGATATCCGTAGCGCGCGCAGCGGCCCAGGGCAACTCAGTTGACGGCCTTGAGGGAGACAGTCGCGTTTTTTGTTTTTTCTGTTCACAACCGACAATCAGATAGTAAACGTACATGTGTAAAGCAGATATGAGGCTCTATGAGACTCTATGAGAGTATGAGATCCTAGCTCAGGCAACGGAACCACAGAGAAATGGTTTGCCCATGTTTGCCCAGTTTCTGAAAGCCTCCGTTGAAAAACGTGTTGGACCTGTGAGGGTCACACCATGGCCAGTTGAACAAAAAGAAACGGGTTTTGGGACCGGTTTGCATTCAATTAAGGTTGGTGTCTTCCCTAAGTTAAACATGGATTTTTCGGATGTGTCATCAGTGACAACAAAGGATCTCTTTGGTTGTTGGTTTTCAGGAAACCCTTCATGGCTCGCGAGGTCTTGCTCAACGGGATTCGCATGCTCGAGGAGATGCATGCGGACGAGGCTGCCTGTGGGTGGGGCAAAACCTTGTGGAGTGGCAGAGCAAATGGGCCACTTGACATCCAGCTCTGCTTCCAATTCCTCGCCACACACATCAAAAACTTAATCATTTAATTATCCATATATTATACCCCTAAAAATTGCGATGCCCCCATGGACATCCTTGTTTTGTTTTCTTATGTCCCTTCTTTTCAGGATGGATCCCTGTTTGTCAGAACCTGAAACCCTAAAAGTCCAAGACCATTTTAAAATGGTTGATCTGGTTTTGTAGTGCAAATCCTTGCTTGTTCGGTAGAGGCTATTAAATAAATGGTGGTGGTGAACCTCCTCCTCCCTGAGTCACTGGAGGATTCAAGTCAGTCCGTGCAGGTCTTGGATGAGTGGATCTCCACCATCTTCGTCCAGTCCTGGGGGCTGAAAGCCAAGCCAGACGAAGTGATCTTCGGCGCAGAGACGCGAACCTAGTGCCAAAATGGGCCATGCGGATTGTCGCAGGGGAGAGTGGCACGAGAGGGGGGACCGGGTCGGAGCATGAGGATTGGTGGTGATGTTGATATTCCTGAACTGGGTCAATCCCTCAAGCGTACGTTCACAGACCTTTGAAAGCACAGAAAGATGTTGGTCAATGCCCGAACTGGGGAAGACCAGGACCATCCTGTCTGGAGATCCCCATAGGTCGTGGGCGCCGGGCTGGACGCACTCCAACACACCCAGACAGGTGGTCCCGGTTCTTGGGAGCAAGAGAGTAGCGGATGAGGTGGTGGGGACAGAGGACGAGGGTGCTGAGAAGTCGTTGTTGCTACCCAGACACGACCTATTTGGGACCGGAGTCAATATGCCCAATGGCAGCGCGCAGGACCCGGGAAATCATCAACCACTCCAATGTGTAGGTATAGATATGTCAGTCCCCATGGAGTCTTTGTGTTATCGTTCCCCGCTTTGCAGAAGTTCCTTCTTCCTGGAATCAGAATGTGTTCTCGTTCTCAGTAAAGCCCTCCAGTTACAGTTACTGCAAGGACAAACTGAGGTCGCGATGGCATGCGTGGTGCTGCGAGGACCATGTAATCATATAATGATCCCTAGGCCTAGGGCTCAAAGTACATCCTCAGAAGGTGTTTGGACCCCCCAAACCCACCCCAAACACCTTCTTAGAAGGTGCTTGGAGCCCTAGGGGATATAATGACTGAGTGAAGTGAATCCATCCCCAAAGTATGATCCTCTCGAATAGAGTCCTTGGGCCCTCCATGGGAGCGTGGTCACACCCAAACCCAACCCAGGGGTCCGAACCCGAACCCAACCCTTTCCAACTTGAGGGCAAAGGTTTTTAGGATTGAAGAACACAAGAGTTCAAGAGTAGCTTTTGAAAGAAATACACAATGCATGGTTTTGCTCGGGTGATGTTGATGTTCTCTATGAAATCATGGGGAATATGATGGAATATGTCTATTTGTTCCCGGCATTCGAAAAACAGCGCATCCAAGCATCACTTGATGGTTACACCCTGGAAGACTAACATGGACCCAGAAAACCACTAGTTGGTAGAGGAAAGCAATCTTCCAGGGGCCCACTGTCAGGGTCTATGTTAGTTTTCTGGAGTGTAGACGATTAGACCAAGTACGTTCACCCTTCGAAAAAGGATTCACCGACCAGAATCGTCTCGACGGGTTCGGGTCTGCTCCACTGACGGGTCACCGACAAATGGGGGACACCAACCAGTGATGGGGGACGCCTCGGTCGGCCTCGGTGTTCTGAAGACCTCCTGTTTGAGGTTTCAAAGGTGAAGGACCTGGAACAACATGAAGGAAGTCCCGCCCCTACCGAAAGTCTCAGGGAAGTCAGACAGACTCACCGTGGACGGTGCCGAAAAAGGGATGGCTCGCCACACGAGTCACATCGCACGCGAGTGAGTGGGCGGCCAGAACAGCAGTGACTCATAGGTCCTGACTCGCACCGAGTCGAATAGAGTGGGGCCATGTGGGGCCTAAGCGAATCAAGGACCCTCAAAGGTGAAGGTTTTTGAGGGTCCAATTGTTTCTTGCTATGCAGGGTCAAAACCCTCCGGAGGGTCCAATGGTTCTCAGGGTAGTAGACTTTATATAGCATCATAACCCCCCGAACGTGCGACAGGCGAAAGGCGTGGTGGAACGTGCGAGCAGGAACGGGTTCCCGGTCATTCCCTAATGTAGACTCTTGATTCATCAAATCCCCTGGAGACATGGCATGATTGTAAAACCATCCTAAGCCCATGGAGGGGGGGTGATGAATCGGTCGAGCCCATGACTGGTGGACATGGCTTCCGATTGGAACCGTTCCGACCGAGTGGACGGACTGATCGATCATCGCAGGCCGGACGAGAGGTGACGATATACGTGACCAACGACCCTAGGTCGGTCCTGGAGTCGGTTGTGACGCTCCAACGTTTTGGCCTCCATGAAGTAACAGCAATTAGATCAATGATTAAATTACTATTTGACATCATCTGACATATTTCCCTACACATCCAGTCGTACCGAACCTCAGGTACGGTGATGTGTTCGTCACTGTTATGTAGGGGTTTGGAGGGTCCAAGTACCTGCTGAGAAGGTACGACTGGATCCCTAGGGTCTGACATTATATATCATTATTTGTTAATTTACTCTCCATGCCTGTGTGGATGACCTCTAGAGCTGAGAGTTCGTTTCGCTGTTCGACATGGAATTCGCTGCGACGGCAGACGGCAGACCCCTACCAGGAGCCCCTGTTTGGGGTGGTTAATGGGCATCCCGGATGACCGTGAAGGGGCAACTTTTAGACACCACTGAAACCGGGGGTGCTGGTAGTGTTACTTTGCATGTGGCTGAACAGGCTGAGAGCCCCCCTCAGGTGTTTTTCATCCGGGTTACTCACCCAAACAGGGGCAGTAGCATGCTACGAGGTTCAGGAGCTCCATTTCCATTTCGACACGGCACATGGGACTGGAATCGAAGACCCTGGACACGCACTGATTGGTCAGTCGCCTGGCCGTGTATTCTAGCGGTCTCCCGACCCCCCCCAGGGGTCCGGACGGTCCGGATGGTCACCGTACCAGGACGGGCAGGCGACCCTTGAGGGGACCCCCAAGTTCGTGTGGGTTTTGGGGGCACCGGGACGAAGGTCACCAGGAAACACACCTGTGAAGTCGGGTCCAGGACCCAAGACCTTGGGGGATCGGATTCCCGAGTCGCCGGCGAGTCAGTGACGAGTCAGTCGGCGTTGCCATGTGTCCAAGACATAGCAAGAATTCAGGCGGTGAGTGACAACATCAGGAAGCAAGTGTTGAATTTCTTAGTGGCCAAGATTGTGCTAGTGAATTTGTGAAACCATGGGACTTGTTTGTTGGTGTTGAATGCAATTTGACATTCCTTTGATTCCAATATACAAAATGGAACTCCACTAGCCACTTCATTCCCGTAATGCCTCCAAGTTGCTGGCCTAATATATACAACAAGCGGAAAGTTGTGTGATCCTCCTCGAATTCCGATTCCTGTAGTTAATATTTTGTCAAAGACCTTTCTCGGAATACTGTCACTGTACTTTATGATACCCTTGAACCAACCAAATCGATTAACTACCACTGCTTTTACAGCTGGTGCCATCGCCATGGGCGGTGAAGGCGCCACAGTTCACTGCGGCGGTGTTTTGGGTGGTTCAGGAAACGGTGCTGGTCAGTGTTACGAAGGCTTCCAAAAGAAGAAACGGTGATCTTGCGTGGCTGGAATGTCTTTTTTGGGTCCAAGCCCTTTCCCTGTAATTACTGTACTGCTTTTTTCAGGGTGCTCAACTTTTCAACTTGTTTGTTGGAAGCTGGAGCTGCCCAGCATGATGTTTGACCAGATCATGTCCAAACCTGTCAGAGCTGCTGAGCTGCGACCTTGGAGGAAAGAACAGCTAGCTATCACATACACACTATACTCGTTGTGGTATACTCTTTATCATCAGACGACTCCGAAGATAACACCTTTGGGCGGCAACGAAAACAATCAGAAAAGCACCATCCATCAAACATCCAGACACATTCCGTTTTCAAACGATCAGAAACAAGACAATGCCAACGAAGCCCATTGGAGATCACCGATGCCAAGCAGCTTGCCGAGCCCAACATATTCAACGGTCGCAGTCGCTTTTTGGGTCGGCTTCATCGTAGGTTGTGAGGTGTTTGAAGCAGAAGTCACGGTAGATCATGGTGTTTTTTGCTACACTTTGCACATCACTCATCTCCCAAGCCGCACCTCTTCAATCCTGTTCCGGTTTGGGGGGCATCGGGCGTTCAGGGGCCTAGGGCATCGGGCGTGCTCGCGAAGCACCTCGGACACTGTAGCAGAGCAGGCGTTGGTCACTCCGTCCAACTCACAGCGCGGCTTCTTGCGACGGGTCACCCTGGACAACCCACTTAGATTGGTCTCCAGACAGGGCACACATTGGAAGTGCTAGGTGAGTTGTGTTGACACCTTGCATGTCACCCGGAGTCATAGCTGACCTACTTCCTACCCCTGGTACCACTTCGGTGGCGACGGTGCACGTTTTTTTTTTTGCAAAGTTGGAGAAACAGAGATGGCACTGGCACCCCCAAGTGATGGCGCTGGCAGCCCCAAGTTTGGTGGTCTAGATGGACCCCTCATATACAAAACCTCCTCGGTGGGGGGCCAGTGCCATCCAACCAACCTCTGAAACCACTGCTTCTGGTCCCACTAGTAGGTGCACCACCGCTCTCTCCGCACCTGACCCCGGCCTGGGCGCACCGATAGGCCCGTGCTGGCTGTGCGAGGGCCGCGACAGCCGCGCCTGTGTCATTTGCGGGCCGGTGGCGACCAGCACCGAGGGGCCGAGTGGAGTGGGGCGCCCGAGAGCGGTGTTGGTCCGGCTGGGACTGGAGCTGCGGGTGAAGAGGGTGCAACGTCCGGATCCATTGGGACCATCAGGGCGTCATACCAGTGGTTTTATCATGTTTTATACAAGAAACTCTTAGTCATGAGAAGATGTCAGTCTATCATATGTCTATCGACACCAAGCCTCATAATGGTTGGTGTTGTTGACATGCATAGTTGAGGAATTGAGCTCTGAGAAATGATTCCAAAACAAGGCCACAACATGCCACAGCCGTGGCCACGTGGCCATGTCTCTAATCCAAGAGCTGGATTGGTTGGAGTCGGTTGGGTAAGCCAACAGTTTATTCAATTCGGCTCAGCTATAATTATGCAAAGGACCTCCAAGGCCAACAGGAAAGACTGCGGACAACATCTTTGTGAGCCATGAGCCTGAGCCATGGTGAAATATAGAGTTGGGGTCCTTGAGCAATACGCTTGTTGACAGAAGTATGATAAAACACGGTTAAACTATGACTATGTCATACTGTGTTTACTTGCAATACATCATTGGGCCCTCCAGACCCTCCATAGTGGGGGTCCAGTGGGGTTTAATCAGGATCAGGTCCCACATCATGGACCTCATATATCATCTCATGCTTCAGTTCATGACCTCAATACCCAGACACTTGAATGATCTCCAATATAAAGTCTACATACTATCTTGGCATCTATGAGCATGCCTGCCATCACCCAGACCCCAGGGCCCAGATCGATCCACCGTTTCTGCGGACGTGACGTCACACTCCACCAGTGCCACTTGTGAAAACCACCCACGGATGGTTTGGAAGTTCCGATGCCACAGGGGGAAGAGGTATTTTTCGATATTTGTCGTTGTTTTTGCTCCTGGGAGCCGCCGTTTTGGGCGTTTTCTGGAGGGATTCAACCGCCTGGGTGCTGGGCTCATGACCCTTGCCATAGAGTAGACCCCACTTGGTCATCCAGTGACTGGACCTGCATGTGGAATTGTTTGGACCAACGTAACGTAGGCCTCCTTCTTGGCCCTGCGACCCAACCACCCCAAGCAAGGTGAAGTATGACTTACCTCCAACTCACACTCAACCTACCCCCCCTGTAACTGCATGTCGAGCAAAACTTTCATGTTGAAGCCACGCCATCTCAAGAACACGTCACCGTTCGAAAACGTCACTCGCACTATACTCCCAGAAGTGTTAGTTAGTGAGTTAAAACACTTCGGTTAGTAAGTCACACGCTTCTGTTGTCTCCCTAGGGCTCCAACTACCTGAGAAGATGGTTGGGGTGGGTGCCGGTCCAACCACCGAACCTGAGGACATGGTGAAGTCGCCCCAGGGTCTGTGAGATACTCCTTCCGCACCTCTTGGGCCAGGAGAAGCTCTTGGGCCAGGAGAAGTTGGGGAGAAGCTCTGCACGGCCCGGCTGGCTGCACGTGGCTGGATAGATGGGGCAGTGGGGTAATGGTGTAGCTGGCCGACAGAGGGATCTGAGCCCTCCCCATGTGTCTAATACGTAGTGGTATCAGGGATGAAGATGGTGAAACGTGTTGAATATCGGCCTTTGGCTTACCGGACCGCTCTGGTTTTTTGGCCAACACATCGGCAAACCACAGTCCAACAAACCACCGGCACCTGCTGTGTTCACTTCCGTGATCTTCGTATCTCATCTCAGGGCTAATGCGACAGCGACACGCATCAACACTTTCCAGGACGGGTGGTGTGCCTTGGATGACTCCAAGGATGAGAGGCGTGGCCGGAGTCATCCCGCTGTTCCTTGGGCAAGGGCCGGGCTGGGCCGGGCAGTTTCGAGATCCAATGAGCGTATGAAAATTTTGCGGCGGATGAATTACTGCAGTTGACTTTTGGTTTGATCTACAGGTGGAACAGTTATTATTCTGAGTATGTATGTATGTAAACCGTGGAGAAGATGAATTTTGGGCGCGCACCCCAAATTTACAGGACCCACGGCCCACAATCCCTGAGCGTTGCAGATTGTGAAAATTGAAAACAAAAAGTAGAGGCACCACAGGAAAAGCGGGTGCTCTAGTGGGGAGCTCTTTGACCTCAGGAAGTGCAATGGTTGTGGCCATAATATGCCACAATAGCTACTTGCACAAAGCTGGACCTCTCAAGATTGGCTGTCAGGCGTCAGGCCTACCATATGAGTCAGGCCTATAACACAGCGACCTCCTCATGGACCATGGAGCAGGGGTACGAGTGACAGAATAGAAAGTTCTTTGCTGCAGGTCTTTGATCGCTCAGATTTGCAACTTAGAGAGGTGTCGCCGAATTTCCACTGCCTCAAAATGTGATTTCGATTCTGTGCACAATCCAGATTTGCCACCGACGCCTTTCATGCCTTTCATGTGCGCCCAGTTGGATTTGATCGTTCCAATGAGCGCGACGCTCCCCCTTCGCTGCGCCTTTCGCTGGTTATGCTACTGCATTCATTCCACCTTGTGTCCTTTGTCTTTTATGCTTCAAGTCCACGAGCTTTCTTGCTGCAGCCATGACCTTGGCTGGGCTGTGCTTGCATGTTTTTCTTCTGTGTATCCAGGAACTTCACCACCACGCTTCTTGCCTGGCTTCAGGGGAGACGATGCCCCCAGAAGACCTCACCAATGACATCATCTCCAGCCGACATTCGCAACTTCGCAGGTGTCACAATGTCAGAGGGCTTTGTGACGTTGCCGGAAACATTTTTCACAACAACGTTTTGATGGTGACAGCTTGCTTGAGAGTCCGGGTGAAGCGATGGTAGTCACGGGCCTGGCCATGGGCTTTCACGTACTAAACTGGGAGTTGAACCTCATTCGCAGCTCGCTGCTTCATGGCAGTCGGTCTCAATCACAGCACCGCACGTCGCTCATGCGGCTTGTGACGCACAGCCATTCGATCACAATCCCCGTTGCTGCCACACTGTGGAAGTGTTGAGTTTCACTGCGGACCCAAATGCTGGTACAGTTGATTGCCTTTGGCTTTCTCTTCAGAACCACGTAGGGCCAGTCCAACAAGCCACAGCCACAGTGGCACTGCTTTGCCAACCTCACCCCTGAAGATGAGGCTCGGGGCGTTTGACCCGAAAAAATCACTCTAGAACGTTCAAGAAGAACGGGTACAAGGCATGTCCACGATGTTCTTTTTTCGACGAAGCCAAAAATGGACTTGTTTCCGTTTCATCCAGCCTCACAGATCAGAAACGGACAGAAAACACATGAAAGAAGACAATTAGGTTCCTGTTTGTTTGTTTGTTTGTTTGTTTGATTGTATCTGGATACCTCAAGTGTTGCACCGGATTCCGAAGTAGTCGAGTCCCAGAAATCGATCCCTTCCCGATTCCCAACCTTGTGTATGTGGATTTGCTTTCTGCATCTACTTATTTCGATAGATGTGGCAAAAAAACATGCCAGCACCTGGTTCTGGTTCCATCCGGCTGCTTGAGTTTTCTGATGTGTTCTGCCCTTGCACGGTGCGGGAACCCCGCACCGCAGCCAGGTTCGGTGGCTGGGTGCAGACCAGCACGGAGGTGCGACCGTTTGCTTCGGTGTCGGCCACAGGGAGCCTGGCTCTCGGCGTCCGCGCTGGAGGGGGGAATGGCTGGAAGACGAGCTTTACTGGGTTGGAAGATGTCAATTGTTTTTTGGGAGCGGATGTTTGTTAGTTTTGAAATGATAGTCAAAGGGTTTGGTTGAGCTGTGCACAAGGAGAGTTTTCAAATGAATCAAGGCGATGATCATGAGTAATTCAAAACTGATTCCAAATAATTAATTCAATGTAGAACATGGTTATCCACGGGGCCATGCCATCCACTTCCATGATAATTTCAGGGAGTGTAGAGTCCAAGATGTGGACCCAGATTTCCCCGGATGAAATCCAATCACAGCCAACAAAGCAACCAATCAGGGTAGTTGGCGTATGCATTTGTTGCTGGCATCTTTGAACAAAGAAGTGGGGATAGGTCAAAACCTGGAGCCCTGGTCCACGATGTAGCTTGATCTTCCAGGTAGGTCAACCAAACTCCCAGCCACCCACCCTATGGTGAAGGGCCCTTGGCAATCGCAGGATCAGGAGCGCAAGTCAAGTCGGTAGGTCAACCAAGGCATCCTGGTTTTGACCAGAAGTGGGCCCCATCGGCAGATACACAACACGTGAGGCGAAAATCACGGCTGTCCAAGTGTTCCACCAGAGTCCACCAGTCCAGAACAAGATTGGGAATTCCACAGTGGATGCTCGCAGATCCGTATGGAAAATGTTCATGAAAACTCAGGAAAGGCAAAGGCATAAAAGAACTCGACACAATCCACACAATCGTCGACCTTGGGATTTTTCATCCAGGGCCTGATCAGGTTGGCCATTCTTTCGACGTTGGTTTGGACAGGCTGAGCAGCAACACCGAGAGAGCCCTGCCTGGCAACCAGGCAGCTGACCAATCAGCACATGACTATGGCAGACAAACTGGAGCTTCCCAACAAACAGGTAGGAACCAATGGCCAAGGGCACCCCGGTTTTGGAGGGGTTTCGAGCGCCTACAAACTTCCATCCCAAGGGTGCATCTTCATGGCAATCTGAAGGCTTTCCAATGGGACTACCGCTATTCGCACACTTTTACCCACGGTTTAAACATCCCCATATAGTGACCCCAAAGTCAAGGAATAACCAAGGTCTGGCACTATCAGAGGCTTTTTGGATTGGGTAAACCACCCTGCCAACATCATCCAACATCCTTGCCCTTGTCGGCATGAGATGTGTTTGCGGGCCCAACGGATCTTCGGCTGATGCTTCAGTCTTTCTGCCCCGTGACGCACTTAACGCGGTGCGTTTTTCCTGCTGCAGGAGTTGCATGTGCAGATCCTTCAAGAGGCTGAGGCGCACCCGGTGTTTGTGCCGCGGCTTTGAGGTAAACCCAGCGGCTAGACCCACCCGGTTTGGGGGTCGACCAATCCAGCGGTCGACTGTGGGCCTATGGGTGGATGATGAAGTATCATTGCGGCCAGGGAGAATGACCAGGCTACAATGTTCTGCACATCGGTTGCCTGTGCATACATGGAGGGTCGTTTGGTCGTTTGAGAAGAACAAGACATATTTGGCGTTTGTTTGAGCAGCCACCCATTGCATGGAGCCACGCCACCTGCTGGGGCTTGGATGGGGATATCCTATCCCACCGTGAAGGCTCACGGATCTACCCCGAAGCTGCTGTTCTTGGTGAAGATTACCTGACCTGACAAACCCCGCGTACCGGCCGATGTTTTGGGTGAAGCACCTGAGTACCCGTGCCCCAAAAGTGTCATTTCAACCGAGGCTGACTAGGGATGCATAGCTGAGCAGGTTGCCTTGCTACCAAGGTGTGGCCTGCCAACTCTCAAGAGCCTTCAAAGCACCACCAAGTATATAAACTTAAACACAGCGTACGGTCCTCAAATGTCCTAGCAAATGTTGGTTTGCAGGCAACCTCACCTTATATAATTGTTTCTTGACAGAGGCTTAGGCCACAACTCCACCCTCAGGGACTTTGTAGTCGGACAATGAAGAACACATTGTAAACAAACCTGGGTGTGTTGGAATTTGGCATTTGAATCATGACATGTGGCCTGCATTTAGGGTTCCTGGGTTTGCTGAGGTCCCCATGTGCTTTGGTTTTCATCCGGGTCCCCCGCCTCAGCCTGACTCTGACACGGAGGCCCAGCTGCAGCAAGGACAAGCGGAGGCCGCCTTGCAAAGCCTCCAGCGGGCGTTGCGCACAGGCGCGGCGCAGGCGCAGCAAGCTAGCTAGCTGATTGCAGGGGCCATCCGCAAAACCATCAACAGCACGGCATCCGGACGGACCGCCTCGATGCGGTGCAACGGTAGACCACCATCATGTTCCACATGTGTGTTCTGTTTTTTCCGTGCACCCTCCAGGATGGAAACCTGGCTTAATTTGTGCATGACCTTCTGTGCATATTGTTTGTATGTTTTTTTGCTCGAGGATGTGCTTGATGCAAACGTTGTGACAGATGTTCTTCCAAGATACACCACAATCGCTGCCTTATAATGCCCAGTAAAAAAAAATTAGGCACTCTCAGCCCATCAATCAATAGTGATTCCCAGTATGACGGAGATGCGGTTTCACCTGAGATGTAAGTACAAATTTTACATACAAGTTGCTAGATCTCAAATGCAGATCAAAACCGATGATCTCACTACCAGACCCATACAGATGAGGTTGAACCATGTTGAACCATCAAATGACAAGCTGCAATTTTCCTAATTCACAACCACAAAATATATGCCCAGAACATGTCCTATAGTATGCCCTAGCTATTCCCTATGTTCATCTGTGTGACAACCTCTATTCGGTTCAGCTGGCCTGGCTGTGTTGTGGATCTTTCGATCGTGGCCAATGATTGGGCCTCCCAAAAGACTTGGAGTGCCAGCGCACTTCCAAAGGGAGCTTTTGGAACAAGGCAATTGTTGGTATCGTTTGAAATCGGCGCTTGAAGACATCACTTCGCTGACCAAGAGTCAGCGAAGACACAAACCCTTCAGTTTGTTGTCTCCCTATTCTGATACACACAAGCCCCTCAAGCATGGATCTTTTGTCGTGTTGGGCAGAGGATACAAACAGAGCATGAATTGGGCAGAGGATCTGAAAAAGACACAAACCCCTTTCTTCTGCACATGCAGGTGGCAAGCTTCAGGACGATAACAAGGAGCTGCCGATTGGGATGTTCCTTCCGCCGGAGGATGCCGCAGGTGTGGTTTCCGGTGTAGGGCATGGACGTTCGGCTTTGGAGCTGCTTTTCCGGCCGCATCGAAGTATTTTAACTTAATGTAGACTGTCGACTCTTGGTGAATCAGTGAATAAAGTGTTACAATCCACATGCCCGGGCGTTTTCTCACAAGTCTACATGAAATAGCGTCCACACATGGTCGGGCAAAGCCCATTGTCATGGGCCCCAGGGTATACTGAAGTCGTTCCCATGGGTTTTCCGTGGTTGTAAAAGCTCTTCCATGAAGCCACCACAATGCTGAGGGGCCTGGACTCCAGGGGTTTGACAGGGTGCGAAAACCCACGACTACATGGTCGAACATGGTCTTCTGGGCCTATGTTCCACTTCCATGTTATATTATAGTTATATACACAAAATCCTTGATATGAATTATATTAAGATTACATTAAACTATTAAAACATACTCCAAGAAAAGACGTATTGTATTAAGTATAACTATAAATTGTACTATATATAAAAATATATACATTTGTACCGTATTGAAAATAAGTAAAAAAACACACACAGTGGGTCAATTCGCGAATTCTCGTTTTGCTCAGCTCTTTCTCCAGGAGCTACACTGCTTGACTTCGATGATCCGCGCCAGGCGCCGATCATGATCGGTCGCGGGACGAGGCGTTCTTCTGATCGATCTCATGTTGTTGTGCTCGTGGAAGGAACAGAATTGTTAGGTTAAGTTTGGTTTTGAGTGTGGAAATAAACCTCCAATGTGTGGTTCAACGTGTGTTAAAATTACTTGGTGTTGACTTCTTGTAGCCTAAATGACACCCCAGCGTGACAGGGGAACCTGCCTCCTGTCGTCCGGAAATGGGGTTCCCATCCAAGCAGCCATCCGTGGGCCAGCCATCCAAACAGCCAGTGCTTGGTTGCTTTGCTGGGCTTTGTGGATCGGATCTTGTTCCCCTTTCCCAGACAATCCATGTATGTAATATTGACCTACCAGGATCGGATCTTGAGTGACCTCTTCAGGATTTGTAAGTGACCTTGTCAAGGCCGTTTCGTGACCTCATTCTGGGATCTCAAAAGGTCACTGGGAAGGTACATTGGACCCTTTTTCAACCACCCCAAGGTAGGTAAATATTCCATGGATTGTTAGGACTAGGGGTATGGGTACATCGGGTACATCCCCTTCAGAATATGTGTCATTGGTCCCGGCGATCGAAGCAAATCCAAGGATCGCCCGATTGGACGCGATTTCGACCATTGGACCGATGTCCAACTTGGTGAGAACAGGCCTCTGTCGCGACAGACGGTTGATGAATAACACCTCTATGAAGCATGGTGCAATCCAAATGGGGGTATTTTGTTGATCAAGATGCTACATCAGGCGAAGGACTTGGAGACAACTTGCAGGGCGACGGGACACTTCCCCAAGGGCCGCATAATCAGGCGAGCACACGGTACTCCAATCCGTAAAATCAGGAACCATATATCAGTAACAACTTGAATTTCTACCAAGCCCTGATTGCAGCTGGGGTCATGACAGTGCTGAGGTTCTCATGGGGTTTGACGTGCCTGTCGACATGACATGGAGAATGGCGTGTGATCACACGGGAGATCCACAGATCACCACGCCTCCGACATGGCCCCCGACATCGCTCACTATGGTCAACTATAGTCTTAGTGTTTGGCAATGCAGTCCTGGAACCTTCAGTACCCCAACACCTCTGAAACAAGCAGTGAACACACATGTGAGCTGGCATGCCTTCGCTTGGAGGACGAAGTTTGACATGTGTCACGAATGTTCTTCAAATCAACTCGAACCATCCACACCATGAGAACTCGTACCTTCTCTCACGCGCTCCCCTTGCAGTCGCAAGGGGTCGGCGGATATTGTAGATTCCCAAACAGATAAAAATGAGATCCCCACGTAGAACATGTATTGGACACCGTGCCGGAATTGACCCACCACCTCGGCCGAAAAAACGGTGGGGGAGTCTCCTTTCCGGTCCAGGTGTCACTTGCTTCAGCAAGACTACACTGCTGTTGTGGAGGATTGCAAGCAGTTTGGGAGGCGAGCAGTCTGAGACGATGCTATGCGACGCAGCAATGTTTGGTGAGTCTTTCTCCTTCAAGAGTGTTGGGTCCCAGCTGTTAGCATCATGCTCGCAAAGAGAGGATTTGATTGGATTCCTAAAGAACATCATATGTTTAGGAGGAAACCTCTTCGCGTTTGATTTCAATTCGTCTTTGTGCAAAAAAGATGCTTTTGACACCTTCGCGAGCGTTCCAGCATCGTTATAGCTGTCCGGGGAAAAAGAAAGCTCTTGACGTGGCCCTACTCAGAAGGCCTGCCACATCGGATTGAAACCAGAGTAGGCCTGTGCTGTAGTCACCGCAATGTGCTGTAGGCTCCGCCCCTTGATCCACAGGAAGGGGTAAAAATCAGAAGAAGTCGGATGAAGCAGGGTCGCATGGACCGTTTCATCCGACCCCGCGGACCACTCCTGGCATTGGCGGGCCAGCAAACCAAACCTGTTGACCAATGAGAACACGTGCTTCTTCATAGTTCCCTTCGTTCCAAGACGCGCCCATGTTGGGGGTGTTGGAGATGCCTTCAAGATCTGCTAGCCACCCCAAAGAACCAAAGGTGAGTTTGTCCTTCAAGAACCAAAGGTCGTCTGGATCATATGTCCTGATGGACAAGGTTCGTTGGTTTGCTACTCCTGACATGAGATGTTGGATATGGTTGCTGCTCCCATGGCCCAGTCAGTCAAACAAGGGATTCGCTCGTTTGAAACACACCACTACCGTCGAGGCTTGAGGAGGAGATCTTGGGCACCATGAGGGGAGAAGAGCTAAAGAAAGCTCAGGAGCAAGCTGGACGGCCCAGGATGTGGATGTCAAACGTAGATGTAAAATGATGTAAATGTAAATGCTGGACACCAAAACCGAGAAATTTACACACCAAGACAACAAGAGTTGTTGTCCTCTCAGAACATACTGTACTTTTGTTTGGTGGAAGAAGATGGCGCTCAGTACTTGTGACATCTTGTGACATGTGGCATCTATGTTTCGTTTCTTGATTCTTGGTCAATCTATGCTTCAGGGATACATGTGAGAATTACACATATATAGTATTATATAGCCAATATGTGTCGCAAAGGTACTGTAAGTCGCTGTATGGTCGATTGTGGGATGGAGGCTTACATACTTCAACTGTAATTTCAGGGGCTTACGCCAGACAGCGGGGGCGACAGTATAGAGTAGCACGGCACATACGCTGAGCGGCCCGTGGCGCAGGGCTGGGCCCACCCTTGTCTGCCTTGAGCTGCCATAGGGCAGAGAAGCCGGACAAGAAGTAAGCACGTGATGTTGAGCACACATCGGCAGACACGTGATGTTCGGACACCCGCGCACTCACGGTGCATCCTTAACGCCAGAGCACGAGGCGTGCAACAACCTCACTCCGCCTGTGGGCACGCAAGGCAAAGAGCGTGGCGTACAAAGGCCTCTTGACGAGGGTGGGGGGGGCAGCATCAGCAAAACACGGCAGGCACACCGTGGCCTGCCCGCCAGACAAGGAGAACCCAGGGGTAAGCAAGACAACGGAACTGAATGCATCCGGCAAGGCGGCTGCAAACAGGAAGAGGCAAGCTGATGAACCAGCCGGGCAGACTCGCAGTCGGGGGAGAGAAACTAGAAGGGAGCTAGGCTTCGACACAGTACTTGACACCCTTACCAACAAAAGACTCTGTGGCGCTATGCTAGAAGTAGCGGAACACAGGCCTGTTGTTTGGAGGCTGGAGAAGATGGAGTAATATGGAGTACTTCCCGAAGAGCCCGTGCGGGAGATGGTTTAGAGACCCAGAGGAGCTAATAGAATCCAACACTGCCGCAGGGTTCCCAGAGTCGATGTAGGAGCGTGTCCTCGTTGCAGAACTGTAGCCTGGTGACCCGTACTCACGAGAGGACGTAGTGGAAGCGTATAGCACAGCTAGAGCAGAAGTAATGTTTTCCTTGGATGAATCAAGTACCCCAGAATAGTGACTTTTTGTTTCCTGCACAGATTAATAAAGGCCCCCAGAATAATGTAGTTTTTTTTTGGGAGGGGTAGTTGTAGTAAGATATGTTTTATTGTTATAGCTTACTTTTTCCCTTCTGACGTTGCTGAGATTTGCTTATCTTACAGGCTTTTGGATGGAGATTTCTATTAAACAGTTGAAGATGTCCATTGAGATTTGATGCTTTTGGAGGCTTTTGGATGGAGATTTCTATTAAACAGTTGAATATTTCTTTACAAAATCCCTTATTCAAAAGTATCGAAAAAAATCATTCAAGCAAAGGGGGTAGTCCAGCAAGCAGCTTTCTGACATTATTTGGGGGGGGCCCTAGAATAATGTCTAGAGATTTGAGGCCTTAAATCGTTGTTCCTTTATTTTGCCTTTTGATTTGCTTTACTCACCCTCTATTCCTTATTTACTTTTCCTAAGCTCTTTAGTCTTTCAGCTTTCCGAAAGTTTCCTAGAGTCAGTGCGCACCTTCTTTACAAAATCCCTTATTCAACAGTATTGAAAAACAAAAAAAAATCATTCAAGCAAAGGGGGTGGTTCTGACATTATTTAGGGGGGCCCCTAGAATAATGTCTAGAGATTTGAAGGTCTTTGGATGCAGATGTCCATTGATATTTTATAGATTTCCATTGGAATTTAATGATTTTGAAGGTCTTTAGAGGCAGATGTCCATTGAAATTTTATAGATTTCCACTGGAATTTGATGACTTTGAAGGTCTTTGGATGCAGAACTCCATTGAAATTTTATAGATTTCCCATTGAGATTTGATGAATTTAAGTAATGAGTCCTTTTATTCCGCACCTGCCAGGTGAGGGTTGTTAGATTTTATCACAGTTGTTCTTCCTTCCTCCTTCCTTCCTTCCTTCCTTCCTTCCTCCTTGCTTCCTTCCTCGCCAATCTTCATCGCCAATCTTCATCGCCAATCTGCTTCGCCGATCTTGTCTGGCCAGCTCCGGATCGCAGTGTGCACCCCTGGACCTCAACCGCAAGGATCCCCTCGCAGTGTGCACCCCTGGACCTCAACCGCAAGGATCCGATCGCAGTGTGCATCCCTGGACCTCAACCGCAAGGATCCGATCGCAGTGTGCACCCCTGGACCTCAACCGCAAGGATCCCCTCGCAGTGTGCACACCTGGACCTCAACCGCAAGGATCCGATCGCAGTGTGCACCCCTGGACCTCAACCGCAAGGATCCGATCGCAGTGTGCACCGCTGGGCCTCAACCGCAAGGATTCGATCGCAGTGTGCACCGCTGGACCTCAACCAGATAGTTTGCCAGATAGAATGCTGCAAGAAGATATGCCAGATAGTATGCCAAA